CACACACACACACACACACACACACACACACACACACACACACACACACACTTGTCATGACCACTTTTCTGTAACATGCAGCAAAAGTATACGAAGTAATCATTATTATCAAACACAAAGTTAACATAACAATAATAATTGTGTAACAGGCATGTTAAGAATATTGGTATATTGTCAGACATAATGATTACTTCGTATACTTTTGCTGCATGTTACAGAAAAGTGGTCATGACAAGTGTGTGTGTGTGTGTGTGTGTGTGTGTGTGTGTGTGTGTGTGTGTGTGTGTGTGCCCTTCAATGTTGCTCTATGGCTAAGTTGTAAAGCCCTATAACCTTCATAATATGAGTGGCCATTGATGACTGTTACTTTCGACTCAATGTCGTCGGTAGCCTTGTGATTAGCCTGCCATGACTCACAACCAAATGGTAGAGGGTTTGAATCCTGATGCAGACCCGACGTTGTGTTCTTAGCTTAGACACCTTACGTAGAATTCCCCCACTTAACATCCAAGCAAGAAAATGTAACAATTGTTTATGTTTTTATGCCTTCGCGGACTCAATTTAGATCCTTTTAGGGGCACGTTTTTCGAACCTGCCCGTTTCGGAAATTCTGGGCTGAGAGGGATGTAACATCCAAACAGAAAGACAGAGGTACGCGTAACAAAAATTCTCTCTTTACAGATATGCATGTCCTTGCCGCTGTCTGTGGAGTAGCAGTTAGACTCTTCGTCGTTGAACACAGAAGAAGTGAGTTCGATTCTCAAGATACCCATGTCGTCTTCTGCTCAAGACGGCGAAGCGCCTAATCTAATAGCTAATCATTGACACCAGTTAGGAAGATGTACCCAGCTAAGACTGCGGAACGACGCATCAGTGTGTCGGTGTTTGTGAACATTATATGAAATTACAGTTTGCACTGATGCTCTCCTGGTAACTGAGATTTGCCTATGGTTGGCAGATGCTCTGATGTGGTTTGCCCCTTCTTTCCTATCAAACATCTATCTTCCTTATACCCCCTACGTCTTGTTTTTTGTTTGTTACTCTCCTGTAACACCTTTACCCTCACTGTGTTGCACGTGCCGTGAAATTCTTACTGAAACTAAACCGATATTGTTTGGGAATTTTATAGGTCTGTATTGACCATGATGTATTACTATAATTACAGCATTTTCACAGAAAATGGAAAATTAGATCGAGAGATAGAGACTAGATGCCAGAGAGCCAACGCAGTCAGCTACCAACTGGGCCCTCTCCTGAAACATCCCAATATCCCCATGAGCACCAAGGCGAAGCTCATCAACGCCATTTTCCTTCCAACGCTCACATATCAGTGCCAGACATGGACTCTAACAAAAGCCCTAGAGAGGAAACTGGTCACATGCGAGATGAAATGCTTAAGAAGAGCGGTCAACAAAACAAGAAGAGACAAAATTAAAAATGAAGTCATAAGGGACACCGTGGGAGCAACGCCAGTCCTACCACACATTGAAAAACAAAAGGTCAAGTGGTTCGGACACCTCACGCGGATGCCCTCAAACCATCCAGCTTTGAGAGCATACAACATTAAATATTCTGGATGGAGAGCCAGAGGAAGACCAAGGCGACGATGGAGTGAATCTGTGGCAGACACCCTTAAAGATCATGGGATGTCCCTCCTACAGGCCACACGACTTGCTGCAGACAGACACCTGTGTCTCCCCGCGACACCCCAGGGTACAAGCGGAAGAAAAAAGTAAAGTAAAGTAAAGTATTACTATAAAACTTGTTCGGGGGTTTTTGCTTTATACAGGTACTACAAAAGTAAACCGACATTATTTTTTTCTTCCTTAAAAAAGGGTGAGGGGGTGGTAGCAGCTATAAGTTCTGATTTGGGTCAAAATGATCGATTTTGAGATGTGTGCATTTGTGGCTTCTTCAGCATCTCTCTATCACCATTATATCATCTAACTTTCTTTCTATGTTACTAGAAACGCCTCTAATCTTCTGCGAATACGATTTTGACCAAAACGCTTTGCAAATACAGTAAAGCTCTTACTAAAACTGTAAATTAAGCATGTTACTGTATATCAGCGTTTGTGTCATACAGATGTTATTTCTGTCATCAGTTGGTTAGTAAAGATTACTCTGTATTTCTCTCTGGGATTATGTATGATGTTTTAAAACATTATTTTTGTTTCCGCTTTTGATTTTGTGGTGTTTTGCTTTTGTTTTGTTTTGTTTTGTTTTGTTTTGTTTTGCTTGAAAGGTGGGGGTCAGGTGGTGGGGCCTATGATTGCTGTTGACCCTGATGTTGTTGATGGTATATTATTTCATAACTATTGTACTTGCAGTGCAGTTGTTGTTCATTTTTTGTTGTCGTTGTTGCTGTTGTTGTCGTTGTTGTATTTGTTGTTGTTGATAATTTTGTTGTTGTTGGTGCTATTGTTAATAATTTTGTTGTTGTTGATTATTGTTAGCGTTGTTGTTAGTATTTTAGTCGTGTTAATGTTGTTGTTGTCGATGATTATTTGTTATCGTGTTTTAGTTGTTATTGATGATGAAGATGATGATGATGATGACGATGATGATGATGATGAGGAGGAGGAGGAGGTGGAGAAGGAGGAGGAGGAGGAGGAGGAGGGGGAGGAGGAGGAGGAGGAGGACGACGACGACGATGGTGATGACGAGTGCGGTTGTACTCTCAATATGTTTTTAAATACTAGTTGATATGGACTTTGTGGTGGCAGTGACGCTGGAGGAAGTGATAGTAGCAGTAGTTTCACAATGCGTCAAGTTTTTTCGAATGCAATTCATGAATATCTTGATAATCACTCAGGTATAATCTTACGATGGAGCGCACAGAACATTTGGTTTTTGACCTCTTGGTCTTAGTAACTCAAAACTTCTAAAATGTTTGGCTATAATACACGTCATAGAACTTTGTAATTATAAGGGAGCAGGAGGCTATTTGTTATTTGAAGTAGTAGTTCTGGCGATGACATATTACGGACTTTTAAAACCCATATCAGAACCAAATCAATGGGGGTTTTTTTTTGCGAAATGCTTTGCTCAGCTAAAAAATCAACAAATAAGGAGTAAAACAGTTTCTTTTTGTTGCTGGTTTTAAATGGAGGTGTTTTCATCGACACAATTTAGATCATTTAGAAGGCGGACTTCCGACCCTGCCTGTAATGGCCAACCCGGCTGAGAGGGACACAACATCCCAGCAGAATTACCGATGAGAAACTTGATAGAATTCTCCCCACTCGGGAATCGAACTCAGGTCGTTTGCATGTGACAGCGAAGCGCCCAACCGCGGTGGTAAAACTGTAAAACCTACAAGTTTCTTCGCTGACAAAAAGTGGTATTTTATATACAGATGACACGAATTATTGCAATAGTTAAAATTGTCAGCTGTAATTCATTGACATAATATGTTTGGTATAATTTTGTGTGTACATTTTAGTAAATTTCTCCAAACATAAGTATGTGGTTGGAGGGTACCACACCACCGGTAGGTCCCACTTTATTAGTTTCCCGTTGTTATTTCTGTCTGTCTGTCTTCCTTTTTCCCAGCACTAAATGACCATTATTCTGCCAATGTACTTCGCTTTACTCAAACAAACAAACCACAGGTAGGCATTACTAATTCTTTACTTTCCTCTGATGTTTCTGTCAGTCTGTCTTTCTATCAGCCTTATCTTTACCCTGAACTAATTGACAATAATTATGTCAATGTGCTTCTCTTTACTCAAACAAACAAACAAAATACACACATGTTGCAGTACTTGGATAGTATTATCAGTGGTTCAATGCGAATCACTTACTTTACTTCCGTATTGAAAAAAAAAATATTATAATCTCTGCATATATATTAATGTTATCATTGCATGTGTGGGACTATAACACGTCAGTAAAAAAACCTCTTTAATTGCATTTTCCCTCTATCTATCTATTTATCTATCTATCTATCTATATATTATGCATCTATACGTATCTATCTATCTATCTGATTCTATCTATCTATCTATCTATCTATCTATCTATCTATCTATCTATCTATCTATCTATTTTTTATCCATCAGTATTATATTATGAGTATGAATGTTTGTAGTGGGTGGTTGGCGGTTGCTCTGGTGTGGTTTGCTCCTTCTTTCCTATCAAACATCTATCGTCCTTATCTCCCCTCTTTCTTTTTTATGTTTGTTACTCTCTTGTAACACCTCTAATCATCTGGCACTCATATGACCTTATGCAGTTGCGAGCGTCGTAAAACCTCTACTTAAACAAAGAATGTTTGTATATACAATGCATACTATATGTAAATCTATGTAAAAGTGTGTGTGTGTTTGTGTGTGTGTGTGTGTGTGTGTGTGTGTGTGTGTGTGTGTGTGTTTGTGTGTGTGCGCGTGTGTCTGTGTTTCTGTGTCTGTGTCTGTATTATACGGTATCAAAATTAATTAATATGAAACTAAACAACTATAGCTTGGATTCTTGAGCTTATAACTAATCAACTTCAGTATGTAAAATTAAATGGTGTAAAATCGGACCTAATGTTCATGAACACTGGTGGAACGCACCAAGGTTGTGTAATGCCCCCTGTCTTGTTTACGCTTTACACCAACGGCTGTACTTTTAATAACGAAAACATCAAACTAATAAAATTTGAGGATGATTCAACTCTGCAAGGGTTTACAACAACGAATGAGAATGAATACAGGGACGCTGTAAATGTATTTACAAATTGGCGTGATAACCACTTCCTTTTACTAAATGTAAAAAAGACAAAGGAATTAATAATAGACTTAAGAGTAACAAAAGACCAATTGCAACCACTATTTATTAAAGATGAGGTGGTGAAGGTGGTAAGCTCTTACAAATATCTGAGAATAACAATTGATAACAAGCTTGATTGGCATCCCCACGCTGCTCCTTGTTCATAAAAGGTAAATCAAAGAATATACCTTTTAAGGAAATTAAGAAGTTTTCAAGCCGATAATAGATTATATCCTTTTTATACCATTCTATGATTGAAAGAGTGCTATTATTTTTATTTGCTTCTGGGCTGGGAATTGTAGGGTGAAAGATATAGAAAAATGTGTCAGAACCATTAGGAAAGCCAGCAAAATCTCGGATATGATTTTACTAGAATTGATGAAATGTATAACCCCACAAGTATAAAACAGATTTTAAAAAGCTTTATAAACAACCCATCACACCCCCTTTCTCCGTAAATTGTAAGATCACGTAGTACCTCTAAAACAAAGAAAGAAATATATAAAAGAAGTTTTTTTTAACCATCTAGCATAAGGCTATTGTCAGAATAAGCATCAATGTGTATTGGTCTTTCGAGTATGTATCTATGTAACTCTAAAGGTCTTGTAATTAAATTTCTGCATGTGGCTGAATGATGCATCTGATGTGATATGTACATTTTGTCAGCTTTACTTCTCTTTTCATATAGGATTTTAATGAGAGTAGTAATATAAAATTTAATTTTTTTAAAGTATACATACATGTGTTTTTACGGTCCTGTACAGCCAAGAAAAAAATTCCCTCTAGGATAATAAAGCATCTAATCTTTTCTCATATGCATAATATGTGAATTATATACAATGTATGTATTTATAACACACATGCACAGGTACATTATGTATGTTTATATATTTACACAGGTTCAGTATACGCATCTGGCTATGTAAGAAATCAACAGGAACTTTCTGTGAAATTATGGCAGGTTATTAAAACGCCAATTATAACAGGTTGTGTTATAAGTTCTCTTTCAAAAAATCGACAATATCAAACAAAATACGCTCCCCTTGCTCCAGTTTTAGTGGGCCCTTGTGAAACATAAGAGAATTGTGAAAACCTTCGTCATAGTTCTTCAGAGTTGCTTTCACACCAGCGTTCAAGAGCCTCGTGAAATACATGACTCCATCATCTCGAATGACGTCATACCCGGCTGTCATGACGTAACAGGTAGGCGTCTTTGACAACCAGCTGTCGTCTGCAAGCAAGGGTGAGAAATACGGATCCAGGAAGATGTCTTTCAGCTCGTCCCAAACTTTTTCCTCTCCAAAACTGCAGTCCTGATTTCGTTTCTTCAGATCCGGCGTCCGGATGATTTCCGGTACCATGAGAGCATTGTGGTTTACTTTGTACTCAAACATTTGCTTCTTCACAGTCGTGGAGACGTGGCTGTTTGCCAGTAACGAAGGAAGATGCTCCAGGCTAAGTCCTCCGTACATTAAGTACGCTTGGAAGGTATTTCTGTCGTGAATCGACTCGCACCTGAAGAGAAGACACACAGGAAAAGACACAAGCACTATTATATCGACTTTTTAGTGGAAGACTCCGTCTAACGAAATTTTGAAAAGTGACATAATATGAGGCAGTTGATATGCACTTAATAAAAATAATAAAGTGGAAGATACGGGTATTATCCACAAGGTGGGGACATTTTCCCCTTTTTTTCTTATATTTTTGTATATATTTAGTATACTAGGTTCAACTCCCTTTATGTGTTGCAGGGTGGTTTTACAACATGGATGTAAATTAACTTTTATCAAACGAAACCAGGCTTTGGCAGCCATTTTCCCTCTAATGTAGCGCTGACACCCGGCGACTCCCACCTCTTTCAATGGTAAATATCTGATAGATAGATAGATAGATAGATAGATAGATAGATAGACAGATAGATAGATAGATAGATAGATAGATAGATAGATAGATAGATAGATAGATAGAGAGAGAGATAGAGAGATAGATAGAGAGATAGATGTACGTACATGTACCGCTGATTTTCAATGGCCGATGACGTCAGAGTGTCCAGTGGCTGCAAGGCCGGAACAAGCAACAGTTGCAGCTTGAGCTTGTCCTTGAACTCCAGGGCCAGGGAAGCCGACAGATTACCCCCTGGACGTCAGAAGAGAAAAACCCCCCAAAAAACCCGGTGACCAGAGGATCAAAGTAAAGCTGGAGACCCTTTCACTATCATTTCTGAGTGCTTGACCTAGTGCGCAACATGTTAACACACAGAGTCACCAGGCTGGCCACAATGGGGTCTTATTTTTTCATAAGAGTTTTAAGGCACTTGGAACACAATAAGGTCATAAAAGTCCAAACAGTTAGAGGTGTTACAAGAAAGTAACAAACAAAAAGAATTAGTAGAAATAATAATATGGACGATTATGTTTGATAGGAAATAAGGAGCAACCACACCACAGCACCTGTCAACCACCCGCAGTGGGATCTTTAATGCAAAAGTTAGACCCTTCATTGAGGCAGTTTGTTTTGTCTGGGGGTGGGGTTGGTTTGTTGTTTGTTTGTTTGTTTGTTGTTTTGTTGTTATTGCTGATGTTGTTCAGTGTCTTTTTGGTGGGGGGGGGGGGGGGGGAGGAAGAAGCCACCTCCTAAATGATCTCATTTTCTTTTCATGGAGGATCTGGAACGTAAGGCTAGATTAGCTCGCCTCTTCACTCACCCAGGTTGTTTCGATGAGGGCGAACAACATTTTAGAACTAAACGTTATAAACACACAATACATGTATTTACCTGCGCTGTCACCTCCAACGGCCATGCGGGATGTGTCCAGTCGCATGCCCTGGCCTTGAGTGAGAACATGCTTGACCACTGCAACACAATCGTCTCTCGGAGCTGGGTATGAAACCTCGGGGCAGAGCCGATAGCTGGTAAAAATAATTATTTCAAAATTAGTATTGACAAACATAGTGCTAACATAATGCCACTTTTTTTTCGATAAAGTTAAATCAAAACACCCATCATAATAATCCCCATTCACCCATCTCCACCCCCCCCCCCCCCCCCCCCCACACACACACACTCCCAAATCCCCACCAGCCTCAACTCCATTTCAGTCATGCCCTATTTAAACCAGAAGAACGAATAAAATATATTGGCGTTTGAAAACGGAGATTTTTATCAACTTATTTCGAAAGTCAGTCAGTCAGTCTGTCTGTCTGTCTGTCTGTCTGTCTGTCTGTCTGTCTGTCTGTCTGTCTGTCTGTCTGGCTGGCTGGCGTCTGGCTGGCTGGCTGGCTGGCTGGCTCGTTCTTTCTTTCGCTATTCCTTACTCGAAGGTATCGAATAAACGGGGGGTAGGTATAAACGGGGTCTCTGGACAAGTGGTCTAAATATATATATATATAGGGATGGGGGTGTTTTGGTTTGGAATAAAAGGGGGGGGGGGGGGCACATTCAACATCATACCCCTGTACTAGTAGGAACAAATCTGTTATATTTCTCCTTCAGTGAATAAAAAAATAAGAGATCATGAAATTTTAGTGATTTTGGTAAGTTACTGTGACAACTTTTCTCTTTTAGGAACAAACCGATTTTATTTTTAAAAATATAAAGCTAAACCAATGTAAAAAAAAAAGTTTTAAAAATGCACAGAAAATTGAGTCCCAAAAAAATCAGTTTTAGGTAGGCCTACCTACTTGAAACAAGTGTAAAGGCACAGATAGAAAAAAAGTATTTTAATTTCCCGTGAATAAATTTTAGCAAGAGGAGTACAATCCTTAAAACACTTGGTTCGAACCGTAAAAGTATTGTAGTTGAATGTATGGTATTGTATTGTGGCTTCAGAAGATAAGATACAGAAAAATAAAGTCAAAGTAATTGTAATAATGCAGGCCTACTAAAATGAATTAATAAAAATCAAGAGAGTAACATGAGTTAGTAAGAGGATAACAAGGAAGAAATATAAGAATTTAATAAGCTATTTTTATAATAATATGCTACATTATTTGTTACTCACATTATACTCTCTTTTTCTTACTAGTTACTAGTGTATGCATTATAAAATACAATCTATAATCAAACACCATATATATTATTATATATCTGAATGAAATTGAAATCCACAAATGATAAAAAATGAGAATACATCAGCAAAATCCCAATTAAATATCAGAGAAATCATTTTATATTTTAATTATACACTTCTCTAAGGCCTAAGTTAATATTATAATATTTTACACCAGTGACATGACATTTTAAGTTTTCAGTTAGAATGAAAGTTTAGTCAATTTCTACTACAATATTAAGGAAGTATCTAAGACTCCCAAACCAGCAAGACCCCAAAAGGTAATAAAAACTCAATTGTGTTATTAAGGATACAGAATGCTAATAGTAATAGCCGTATTTATTATTTCTTAATAATCTTAATAATCAAAAACTATTAAAGCTAGAGAAAGAACGAAAAGTCCTCTCATCTTCAAAAATAGCTCAGCAATTTAGTCCATCAATCACATATATTTTAAATTGAGAATGTATAGTTTTCAAATCTAATGCTAAAAATAAAAAGATGAACAATAGAGTAACAAAACATCTTCATATTGTTATCCAACACAGTATACATAGAGTAAACAAAGAAATAACTCAATTATACCGTAATGTATTGTTTGACGAAAGAAGTAAGCCCACATCTGGAGAACCTAAATTCTAAATGAAATACTGTTCGAAGACGATCAAAGTCTATTGCATAACAATAACACTGAACTGCAGGAACACGCTGACAACAATCAAATCTGTAGAAATGTGTGCGAGATGGAATGCCTCAGGAAAACATTAACAAGAAGGGATAAAGTGAGGAAAAATAAAAGAGAACAATTTGGGACAACACCATGTATGAAATACATTGAAAAACAACGCATTAAATGGCCCATGTTGGCCAATAAGCCCCAACTTATTTGCCCATGTGGGCCTATAAGCCACAACTTATTGGCCCACGCAATAAGCCCCAGCTTATTTGCCAATGTGGGCCAATAAGAGCAGCCTTTTGAAAAACACATGTACAAAGACAGAGAGGAAGAGAGAGAGAGAGAGAGAGAGAGAGAGAGAGAGAGAGAGAGAGAGAGAGAGAGAGAGAGAGAGAGAGAGAGGCATAACCTACTTCACCGAGATTACCACAGCACCAGTCAATTCCGATATCCTGCTCGTAAAGCTCTCATAAAGCTCTGCGAAAAAACAAAACAAAAAAAGGAAAAAAATTATGTGTGTAATAAGCCATACTCATAACTGAGGGATAGTGCCAAATTCAATTTAAGGATATCAAATAAGTGCACTTTTTAGTGGACAACTTAACATTTACTTTTTCACCCAGTGCGTGTTATTATTTTAGTAAAAATCTTACGACACTTGTAACACAAGGTCGTACAAATGCCGAATGTTACAGATGTTACACGAAAATAAAGAAGGAAGAGACATCAGGACGATAGATGTTTGGTAAGAACGAAGGAGGAAACCACACCAGAACACCCGCCAACCACCCACCTATCGTTGTGTTGTTAAGCGTCGAAGAGAGATGCACTTTTCTGCGACGGGTTTTTTTTCCTCTGAACTCTCTCAACACCCTCAATTCATCGTTTTGAGAGGTCTACCTTAGAACCCGGTGCTTCAGGACCTTGAGCTAACTTTCTAAATGGCTTTCGTAACAAGTGGAGCGCAACCCGTTTTATTTGACAATCATGCTATACGTTTTTGAACTCTGATTTCAGATTTTTTGTACCCCATGTTTTCCAACAAGTTTGTAAGGAGAAAGACGGTTGAGGTGGGGACGGGGGACGGGGACAGGGGAGGGGCGTCTGTGGCAGCCCCCCCCCCCCCTCCCCCCCAAAAACAACAACAACAACAAACTAACAAACAAACAAACAAACAAACAACTCAGGACAAATGTCACTCCAGAGACCGTGGTCTCACTCAAAAGAGCCAGTTATCCGTGATTGGTGTGGTTTGCAAAAGAGACAAACTCGAGACGGAGCGCCTGATTCCACCAGTTCGCAAGGCAAATAATTTTACTTGATCTTACAAGACTGGTTTTTTTAGAGGTTTTTTAGTTTGTTTGTTTTGGTGTGGGTTTTTTTAGGGGGGGGGGGTGATTTAAAGTACGTAATCGTCTAGACGGATTTATCCATTCCAAAGAATGTATAGAAAAGCAGCCAAAAGTGCTCAGCAGGTTTATAAGTTTAAGTTATAGCTTTGCAAACGTCGGAGATCTTTTCTTAATTAAATATTTGGGTAGTTGGGGTTGTAAAAGTGTTCAAATTCAGTTTTAAAAAGCAGATACTAATTTGTGAGTTTCCGAGCTGAACCTTGGTTCCTGAATGTGGGTCTTCCGTCTTGTTTTTCCAGACCGCTGCACACATTAATTTTACTTTTTAGACCGTATCGACAGACATTGTTTTAGTTGGGTTGCCTTTCTCGGCCAACTTGGGCTGAGTGGAATTCATTTACGCATAAGTGCGCAGACACAGTGGCCGCAGCTGCAGCGATGCACTTTAAGTTACTCGCCGCGTCTGTTCCGACTTCTTTTCTAGGAAACACAGTGGCTGCGTCTTTCGGTTCAGTCGGTTCATTCAGCCATGTGTCAGTCAATGAGGATGGCTAAAGAGGTTCTTCAATTGTTGATGCTTTCATGGCTCCATAACAGGAGACGATCCCGCCGTAGATATTGAGTACATAGAATCAATAAAAAGAGAGACACATATATGGTGAATACCATCACCTGATGGCAGAAATCCTTTCAGACAAAGAAAAAATCCTGAAATATATCCGGATGAGACCCTGCACATTTCAGCTCCTGTTGGACAACATTGGACCCTACATAGAGAAGCGAACTACGAATTTCCGGAAACCCCTGTCAGCAAAAGAGCGTTTGAATTTGGAAAAAGACTGCTTGCTGACAAGCTGGATTTACCATCGGATACAGACAGTGACACAACCCTCCCATTTGCATTCGTAGCAGATGATGCATTTCCATTGAGAGGAGATTTGATGAAGCCATTTCCAAACAGACAATTAACTCGTGAGAAAGAGCTTTTCAATTTTCGCCTATCACGTGCGAGGAATTCAGTTGAATGCTCTTTTGGTAGGATTTCCCAAATGTGGCGCATACTCCTGCGCCAAATGGATGAACAGCCAGAGTCGGCAACAGATGCAGTCAAGGTCATCACAGTGCTCCACAATTTCATCATTATGCAAGAACCTGGAAGATCGGTGCTACGGTACATTGAGGATGACGTGGTTGAGCCACGAGCAGGCCTACCAACGTTTGACAGACTAGAAGTTATATGGAGCAGAGCTCCAAAAGTGGAATGGAGTTGAGAAATGCTTTCATGGGATATTTCTCGTCACCGCAGGGTGCATTGCCATGGCAAAACAGCAAATGCTATAACGTCTGATCAGTCCACACTCTCATTTAAAAAGGGTTATCATTGCATCTCTTTTGATAAGCTAAAGTAGGCATATAGTTTGAAACAAGTATACACGTTGTACAGTGTACATACGTTCAGACAAACAGACGGATAGACAGACAGCCAGACAGAAAGAAAGAAGGAAAGAAAGAAAGAAAGTTCTTACCATTGCATCCAACTTCGTTGGCTACTTTCTTTCATTCGGTCGATATCATGGCCCTGTTGCAGTAGTTTTGATCTGCTTTGTCATAAAGACATCTTCTTTTTTCAATTGCGTGTATTAATGCCTCAGACGTCATTGTAGTCAAAATGCAACAATTCACTGACTACACCCTACACGCACTACACAATCACGCCACAACAGTTCAGCCGCTCAGCAGACGCTCAAAATTTTATTTCAGCAACAAGTGCACACGCTGAACTTTTTCTGCTCCGTCCGGCGCTGCGCCTGCTCCGCACCCACTATAGTGCCGTGCATTCAATCCTTCATTAATAAAATTTGGCGATGCAACTTTTTCGGAGAAATACGTCGCAACCGAAAAAGGAGCGTGGGAGAAGCGTGCACTGTGTTTGATGCCTAAAAAGATAAAGAAGCTTCCACACGAGCGAATTGAACCCATGTCATCCTGTTTGCGACGCGATGCGCTTTTCCCTTTCGTCAACCCGCAGCCACTTAACGAATCGTCAGCCACATAGGCCTACCAACCTTTGACACGGGTCAAACTTCCATCTATTTATAGGTAGTTACCGGAACATGTATAGGTGAAGTGATGTGCTGTGATAGTCGCGATATATTATTTATTGAGATTGTTTTGGTCTCTCTTTACTCATCACCATGAGAATTTCTTGAAGTCTTTCCCTGGACTCTGCCTTTACTAAAATCTCGAATCTAGATCTAGGTCTAGAGTTGTAATCTAGATCTAGTGGCAGGTTGCAGATTTCTGTTATCCAGTACATGTACATTCAAGAGATTAAATAAATTTGACTAGACTCTAGACTCTAGTAGTAGACTCTTCTACTTCTACTTCTAAACCTTCGAGATTACAAAGGCCAAGCCTAGCTTGTAAGGATTCGTTTTGTAAAAAGTGTTGTTTAACACAAAGTCTAAGAAGTTAGCAAACCTAACACATTTTTTTCTAACGAAATGAAGCTTAAATTGACTTTTATATTGTCAATAAGAGATCAAGTTTAATCACCTAATCATTTAAGTAAGGAAGTAGACTGGTTATCCTCACCCGGGGTGAGAAAAACCCTACGATTGACCTCTCACCCCGGGTGAGACTTGCTAGCGTTGGCTATTCTCACCCAGTGTGAAACAAGACCTGTTTTTCCTAATTTCGAAATACTTTCTATCGGTGTGGATGATCAAATTGACAAAACCAAAGAAAAAAATGACGTTATAGCACAAAAGTAAGCTAATTTGATCGTCTACAAAGATGCTATGGCTCTTTCACTTTTCGAATCGAGCCGAACTACGCGGGTCGCCATTTTGTTTTGCCCGGAAGTTCTCGCAACTTACTCGCAAGATCTACTCCTCCCCCTTCTCTCCCTCTCTCTCTCTCTCTCTCTCTCTCTCTCTCTCTCTCTCTGTCGGCAATTTATTAAATCTGCAACCTGCAACTAGATTACAACTAGATCTAGATTCGAGACTTTAGTAAAGGCAGAGTCCAGGGAAAAACATCAATTAAATTCGAGTGGTGCAGATGAGTAAAGAGAGACCAAAACAATCTCTCTATTGCGACTATCATTGCACATCACTTCGCCTAATACATGTTCCGGTAGATCTAACTACCTATAAATAGATGGAAGTTTGACCCGTGTCAAAGGTTGGGTGAAGGCTGACGATTCGGGAGGTGGCTGCGGGTTGACGAAAGGGAAAAGCGCGACGGCGATGAGCCTAACAAAAAAAGTAACATCATAGGACAGACCACACCGGTGCTATCATGTGATTATTTATAAACTTTATAAAATTGTTATTTTTGGGTAAGTGTTGTACGGCGCTCGTAACTGCATATTATTAAGGTAATATGAGCGTGTGTGACATATTATGAAACATTTTCAGTAGGTAGGAAATTTTGAATTTTGCCCGAGTGACTGCCGAAGTCTACCCTTATCCATTTTGGACCACCAAGGGATCTTTAACGTGCGCAACTTGCACACGGGACCTCCAAGATCCCCCCCCCCCCCCCCCCCTTTGTCCGAGAAGGCTTGGTGTAGATCTTTCTATTTAGAGACTGAAATGGAGCCGCCCCGATTGCAGAAGCCTGGCCAACGTTCACATCACTATGGGACGTGAAAGACGGGAATGTGCTGCTGTCATTAACGACAATGATATACGACAGTTAATTGAGGAGCATTCCAAGCCAGAGGACCCAGTGATCTATACGGATAGATCAGTCAGGAGGGGTGAGAGAAGTGGATGGGGCTTTGTGGTGTACAGTGGGAACAAAAAGGTTCATGGCATGTCAGGGTCAGGGGCCATAGAAAGAACAACTTCAAGCATGAAAATGGAGATTGAGGCCGTAACAAGAGCACTTGGATGGCTTCATAATACAAGACCAAGAACAACTCATCTCATTGTCATGGACTCCCAGAGCATCTTGCGAAGGGTTGAGAAAGGGCTTCTTCGGAGTGAATGGATGAACCCAATACAACACTCATCACTTAGAGCCATCACGTGGATATTCTGTCCTGGGCACTCTGGAGTGAAAGGCAATGAGGAGGCTGATAGACTGGCAGGCAGTGCCGTGGTTGATGGTGAGGTGAAATTTGACAAAGGAGAAGTGTTGAAACCCTGGAGAAAAAGTTGCGGGATGAAGAAGACAAGGAGACAACAGAGCACCACGCAATCATTAGGATGCGGGAATTGGGGATAGAGAGGGGAGAAGGAAGAAAGGAACGATTATCTGGAAAGGAAAGACGTCGCCATAATCAGACAGCCACCGGAACAATAAGTATGGATACCTTGCGGGCTTTGGTGCTGGGCTAGACGGTCATATAATTTATGATCGCCTAGGTGCTGGGCGGAACTGAGCACTTATGGACCTGCCCGGTGTGCAATGACGTTGTTGCCCAGGACAGGTAATACAGGTAATACAATCTTTTATCAGTTAAGATATTACTATCGTAGAAGGCTCACGTAAATGTTCTTTTTTTCATCTTTGTCTTCAAGGATAAAGTAATGGAAAAAAAGAATTGTTGTACCAAGAAGTAAAGCCAGAGCTTTTTGATTTTATTATTTTTATTTGTATGTGTGAGGCAACGTGGTGGAATCTGGCTCTCGTCAAAATAATCAAAGTGAGGAAAGTTGCATTTTTCTGCAGGTTTGTGAATTTTTATCAAATTTTTGTTTTTTGGTTCAACACCTTTCAAGCCCATTAAAGAACTCATTTCTGTGTGGATTTTTCTGAAAAACATTGAGTAAAAGTACAATAAATGCAAATTTTCAGTTGCCACAGACTCTTCAGCTAAGGAAATAACTACTCTTTGAAGGCCATTTTCTCACAAATTTTACCTCTGAAAAAAGTTTACCCCCACCTCCTTCATTCGCAAATATCTCAACTTGTATTCAAGATAAATGGATATTTTTTTTCATCGAAATAAAGACAAGTGAACCAGCTTTAAGATGATACCAATAACTCTACATGCCAAAAATTGACGAGAGCCTGATTTCACCACGCTGCCTCACATATTTATTTTTTTGTTGTTGCTATATTTGTTTAACCACTTATTATGTGGCACACGATCTAGTGGCGAGGAGTGTCATGTGATCTTTGTTTACCTTTTAATTTTATGGTATGTGTCAAACAGGATCCACCATAAACGTCAAAATTCCAGTGGTATTATTGCACAACTTGGCGTGTTGGCGTCTAGCATACGTGCGACTTCAAACGGCGTTCCAGTCTCCACAACTCCCGCTCCCCTCCCCCTCCCTCCTCCAATACACACACAAACACACACACACACACACACACACACACACACACACACACACACACACTTTCTCTCTCTCTCTCTCTCTCTCTCTCTCTCTCTCTCTCTCTCTCTCTCTCTCTCTCACACACACACACACACACATTCACACACACACACACTCACACACAAACACACACACACACACACACACGCATTTCTTGGTTGTTATGCCTTGTTGATAATGTTATCAGCTTGTCAGTGAGGATGCTATTTTTGTAGCGCACGCAGGATGTTGTAGTGTCACGAGGAAGGTATGAACAGGGAACTAGTAAAATTTTATTTACTAATAACTATTAGTCTATTACTAATAATTTGTCGGCGCAGATTTGCAAATGCCTCTCTCATCTGTTTGTCTTGGGGGAAAAAATTCCCATGACTTCACCACTTCGTGCCTCTTCCATCGATACAGACGATAGGTTTTCAGACACAAACTGCCCCAATTCCTCCAATTTAGAATTATGTTAGGTGCTAGAAGAAACGTGTTCACCACAAGTGACGCGAGTTCATAACAAAGAGTAAGCATAAGATGAAGTTACATTTTCACTGTTTACAAAAAACGGAGATACGACAAGAAAGCACTGAAGTGGCGAAATATCGTTAGATTTGTCGAAAATTATAACAATAAGAGATAAGTTAAACAGCAAGCTATACTATGTGACTAGACACGGATTTTAGACACAAAATCAATTTTGTTCGTTTAAAGAAACAGAATCATTATTTTAAAATAAACAAAAGGTATGCTCACTAGGCCTACAGATCTAATTATTTTATCACAAAATCTGCGCCGACAAATACATTGCAATTCATAAGTAATTGACCGGCGCGACGCAGGAGTAATTTTATTATACATTTAAAATGTCCATATTACTTGTTCAGTTCTTTTGTATTTATTTTTTTTAAAGTTGTCTGTTTATCTGTTTCCAGGATTGTTCATTTTAAGCATGGTACATTATTGATAAAGTCTTCGATGAGAGAAGTATTATTCTAAGTTATATTTTATTTGTCTGGTTTGGTTGATAATAATATAGATTGCAAAGCGCATAGAGCTTGCTGTTGAACGTAATTAGCGCAATACAAATCGCTACCTTAGAAGTACAAAAAGCTTGGCATACTACATGTATTTGAAACTCAAAATGGTTTACGTCAAATTTCTCGACACTAGATATTGAGAAGATAGAACTTTATAATTCTGAGGTAGCGAATTAATGCTTTCTAGTAATAATAATAACAATAATAATAACAATAATAATAATAATAATAATAATAATAATAATAATAATAATAATAATAATAATAATAATAATAATAATAATAATAATAATAATGATAGATTGCATTTTTAGGGCGCATATCCACGTATGCAATGTTATATGCGCTTAACGTGAAACATATTATGGATTTACAAATCAATTTTATAGGCACATAGTATTACATACGCGTGCACACACATACTCACGCACGCAAGCACCCACACACATATACAGACATACATACACATATACAACATACTTACACACGCACATACAAACTCACGACGACCTACAGCTTGGATGGATTCTGTCTAATCGAAATATGAAGAAAATAGAAATGCTTTTAGTTTTTTCTTTAAAATTTCTCGATTTTTTGCTTCTCTGATAGTTTTTTGCAAGCTTATTCCAAACAAGTGGGGCAAAACATGAAAAAGAGCGTTGGCCATATGATTTGTAATTTATTTCAGGTTTAACAAGGGTTGTTTTGTCACTTGATGATCTGGGCATTCTAGGTGTACATAGGGTGTTAAAAACTGTTTTAGGTAGTCCGGTGATAGATCATATAAGCACTTGTAGCACGTTAAACAGATTTTATACATGATACGCTCTTTCACCGGAAGCCAGTGTAATTCTTTTAAAATAGGAGTCCCATGATCATGCTTTAGTTTCTTAGTAATTATTTTGGCAGCAATATTTTGTACTCTTTGTAGTTGTTGTAACTGTTCATCAGGTATACCAGGAAGTAAGGAATTGCAGTAGCCAAGCCTTGACAATATAAGTGATGTTATTAAAGTTTTGGTGACATCAACATATAGATATTTTCTAATGCTCCCTATTTTCTTCAGTTGGAAACATATATTTTTACAAAGATTGGATACATGAGATTTCATCGACATATCTTAATCTAGTACAACACCTAAATTGTTTATTTTAGTTTGGGCTGATATTTCATGGCCATTGATGTTTATATTGATATTTTCGATTTCATTGCATGCGGTGCTATGAATAAATAATATTTCGGTCTTATCCTCATTTAATGTTAATTTGTTCTTGAGCATCCATTTTCTAATATCATTGATACATCTGGCGATTCTATCTGTGAGATTGTGCACATTGTCAGTAGTAGTGAATCCATACAGCTGTGTATCGTCTGCATAAAAATGATAATTAAGGGCATGAAAAGAAATTGTTGATGACAGACTTTGCGTGTACATTGGTAAGATGACAGGACCATGGACTGAACCATGAGGAACTCCATACTTTAGAGGTAACATATCTGACACATCATTGCCAATTATCCTTATTATTATATCTCTAGGTAGAGCCATATGTCCGACCCGTTAAACTGTCGTTGACACAACCCGGGACACTAACCAGAGATGTCCATACTCACCAGCTGAGAGCCAGGCGAATGCTCCTCCATGGATATAGATAAGGACGGGTCTTCTGGTATTGTGTAGAGATTCCACAGGCTCGTAGATGCGTACAGGGACTCCACTCAGCACTGCGCTTCTTACCTGAGGAAAGATTGATTGTCTATCTATCTATCTATCTATCTATCTATCTATCTATCTATCTATCTATCTATCTATCTATCTATCTATCTATCTATATGTCTGTCTGTCTGTCTGTCTGTCTGTCTGTCTGTCTGTCTATCTGTCTGTCTGTCTGTCTGTCTGTCTGTCTGTCTGTCTGTCTGTCTGTCTGTCTGTCTGTCTGTCTGTCTGTCTGTCGGTCTGCCTCTCTGTTTGTAAGTCATTGTTTTAAAAATTCTGCTTTCGATCAATGCTTTCTGTAAAATTTACTTGTGTTTTTAAAATTGACGTAATAGGCGTTCAATAGAAAAAAGATTGATAAAAATTGCCAAGTGGTCGCAGTAATGACGGTTTCTTCGACTTCATCATTTGTGGTGGAATCATGCGCTCGTAAAATTCTTGACATGTGGACTTATTGGTATCGTTCTAAAACTTATTCTTGCTTTTGATGAAAAAAATATTCGTCAGTCATGAATAGAAGTCGAGATATTTGCGATTAAAGGAGGCTGAGTTCGCCTGATTTCAAGGTAACGTTAGCGAGAAAATGGTAGACACAGTTTGTCCCCTTCAAAAGCTTTCGAGTCTTTAGAAACTACAAATTTACATTTCTGTGCCTTATATCAACATTTCTCAGTAAAATCCACACAGAAATGAGTTTGTAAACGGATCTTAAAGGTGTTAAGTTAAAAAAACAACAACAACAAAAATCGATAAAAATCGCCAAATGGACAGAAAAATTCCAGTTTCTTTGATTTCATTATTTTGACGAGCACCTGATTTTACCACGATGCCTCTCATGTTCATGAGAGACTGGTTTCACCACGATAACGCACACTTGAAAATAATTATAGAGTTGCTCAAAGAAATGTGGAATGTTGAGATCCCTACTATGGACCTAATCAATACGGTTCGAATTCAGACAACGTGGTTGCTTCATTGACTAACTGACACATACATATCCCTACCTTCAAATTACTAAGTTCTATAAGACATTTTTGCCCGTTTTGAGTTACTAAGATCAGTGGGTCGTAAACCAAAAATTGTTC